CCAGTAAAAATTGAGCTTGCCAAAAAGAAGAAATAAATGAGTAAGTTGTGCGATATAGATAGCAGCGGGTCCAATGACGTTACTTATGCCTTTGTCTAAATTCATCAAAATCTAAAGAACACATTTGACTACTTTCAACATGTCATATTTCTATTGGCAATTGTGTTATTTTTTGAAATTTTGTGAAATTAATATTAAAAATAATTATTAAAACAGAAATATTATAATTTTTATAATTTTGTACACGCTTATTGATACAATAAAAATTCTTGATCTTCTCAAAAATATTTGTAACATTAGAAATCAAAATTAATACATACTTGTATACCAATTAAACTGCCAAGAAGCATGTTCGAGTTAAAATTAAGCAAAAATATTTTCGTATACATAGACTCAATGAGTTGCGCAAATCTATAAAATAATAACACAAGAAATCTTATATATTTGTATAATAAAGTTTTATATTATATATTTATAGAAGTCAAATATTTGAATATAAAGGCAAAAATCATATATCATAATTTCTTTATACATACTCTATCACTTGGAGATGTTTACGTAAACAGTATAAGGCTTTATTGTAATTTTCATCTTTTACCTTGCTCGGCTTTGAATCAAATTTAATGTCAGCATTTTTACCAATACTTTCCAATATATATCTGCAATATCGTTAGAAATAAATAAGCTTTAGTAAATAAAATTTTAGTAGTAATGAAATAATCAAAGAAATTTCATTGTCATTTCAAAACGACATACTGTTATTTTTCTGTAATTAGGAAAATCATTTTTACCCTATAATCGAGAACATTCCACAAGCATGTTGTATCAGAGTATAAAACAAATTGTCAACTGCAACTGTGACGAACATATGAGCGAATACAGCTCCAAAACAATGTATCGTTATTAGAATCACATATTGATTAAATCTTTTGCCATATTCCAGGTGATAAGGTAAGTCTGGCATAATTGGTGTGTCTGATTCTGTTACATTTAAAATATTATCCCTCGTCAGAATCGATATGGTTG